GGGGGGGGGGTGGGAAAGGGAGGTGGAGTGCCAACGACAAAGCTCTGTTTATCTCGAACACAAAGTGCTTCCCGGGCAAGTCCTGTTTTCAGGGGGTTTCAGCGAGCGTCATTTAATCAGCAAAGTTTCCACTCCGGCAAATTAAGCTCGGGAGCTTCTCGTTCGACTAGCACAGTACATAAGACTGTCGTCTGAGTCGGCCTTTTGTTTCCCCAGGTTGGCCCTGAACCGCGAACCTCTCAATAACGTTGCTATGCAGATTCCGAATCCGCATGCTACTTACAGGAATCTTCCTTACCGACCATTGAGCTTTAGTAGCTATGTAAATGCTTTCGTACTGTAAGCGTGTTTGTGCTTCGGAAAGTGAAATAAAAAAAAAATTTAATTAGAAAAACATTAGTCAGATGCCAAAATCGTTATACAATAAAAATTCTAGTTAAAAAAATAACAATTTTGATTTATTTCGTATTTTCAAAACTATTTCAGTAGGACGTAACTGTCAGGTTGACAAATTTTCATACGAGCAAACTTGATAATATCGTTAAGCTCTTGTACGGTCTTAATTACTGCTTTTAGCTTTCCTAGCGGGTAGGTTGGTTTATTTACATCTCTTATGGTTTTACGAGACGTCATAATTAAACTTGGACGCCGGGTCCGCCAGCAGCATGTAAATTACAGATACAAAGCACAGCCCTACGAAGTGTCAATTTTGCGGCAAATTGTTTACTCCTTGTATATACGGCTGAAAGCTCGTGCAAGCTATTGGCTGCAAGCTCGCATAGTGACGTCAAGAACGCGTGGTATAAATACCTCAGAGGCATTGTTCAGCGCTGCCGGAAGTTATGGGATTTTATGGTCCGTGTAATTCTGACGACATTTCCTCTATTACCTTACTACCCACTTATCGCGTCATAGGGATGGTAAATTATAAATTAGAATTTGGCCGGTTACACATGCTGCAAGCTCAGCCATTTGGATTAGCGCTTTCCAATGTGAATCCAGGTTTTCTCCCGGAATATTCCAATACGCCATATTACTCTGGGTGAAAGGACCAAGTGGTAGCTTTTGTGACGAAACTCTTGAAAATTCTCGGTATCCTGCCGGCGGCACTTAACCAGCAACCACCTAAAAAGCCAACACCTCCGACGTTGGTATCCGTGATAATTTTACTCTCCAGCTAATTAAGACAATTGCAGGGAGTGGTTTAGGTATTCAAGGGATGGTTGGGTATCCTTGGTTGCGGCTTTACGGAAACCTGTACAAACTGCATACGTCATGTACCCTAAATTCCGCCATTTTCACGTTTCGCCTAACAACCACAAGATTTTCTACCAGTCGTAAGGGATAAACGCAAAAGCTCTTGTTTCAAGAGATCCTGGGACTTTGGCCGTTTCTACTAAACACAATTAGATTAAGACATTCCGTATCCTCCGCTTTGAATTAAGACCTCAGTCAAGAATTAAGAGACTCTATCCTGTAACGCGATCCTCGTGGGTTTCCCGTTTCCAATCTAATTTTCTCTAACAAATATGTTATTAGAGGGAAACGCAAGGGGAATGTTAGACAAGCATTATTGGTACCTAATACTCACATATTTGCCAACCCCGTGCCAAAAATACAGCCTGGACGTTGATAACAAAAAAAAAGACCAAAAAAATATACCCTACTATAAAAATTATAGGAATAAAATCGCTCAAGTCCTGGAACACCGACAGTAACAATAATTCCATATAGTCACGTAATTATATGTATCAACGCGGTTACGAATGAAAATAATTTTTTTTCTTCGTGTAATACAATTTTCTAGAACCTTCTAATCAGCCCCCTCTAATATAATATTGGTACTATGATCAATCTTCTGGAACAGATTTATACCTAAAATGGGACTGTATTAACATCGATTGAAGCAGACTAGAGA